AGAATTATAATAAATTATAAAGGATCCTTATACATCATCAGCAGATTCATCAAAGGTTATGCTGGCTCGACCTCACTTTGCACCCAGCTCGTGTACAAGGGATCTGACTAGATTTAAATTACTTGTTAACCATCTGTTTTTGACGGTAATTCCTTAATACTAATTATCCAGTTGGGTGGGGGTGGGGGGGGATTATCCCTGCTCTAATCCCTGTACACCTATAACCCAATCACTGAAAGTTGGATAATATAAGATTTAGCAAGCAGAGACCTGGGTAAATACTGGTTTCAAAATACTCTAGTGGTGGTTGATATATATGAAACAAAATATCGGTAAACATAATAGATACGAGATCACTTGGTTCTTTTAGCTGTAGGTTAGACATGTTTATGCATGAGTATGGGTGACTATAAATAGGAGGAGCTGCCCCGTGGAAGCCAAGTTCCTTCAAAAAGATCTAATTATTGCGTTAACCTGATGGTGTGATTTGCTTAAGACAACACGAGATCATTCGTTTGCGAATTAATAATTTAAGCATTGCGTGTGTGTGTGTGTACATCAGATCTAATCAGGCTGAAAGACACGGTAAGAGTTGTGAGTGACACCTGGAGACACGGTAAGAGTTGTGAGTGACACCTGGAGACACGGTAAGAGTGGTGAGTGACACCTGGAGACACGGTAAGAGTTGTGAGTGACACCTGGAGACACGGTAAGAGTTGTGAGTGACACTTGAAGACACAGTGAGAGCGGTGAGTGACACCTGGAGACACGGTAAGAGTTGTGAGTGACACTTGAAGACACGGTAAGAGTGGTGAGTGACACTTGAAGACACAGTGAGAGCGGTGAGTGACACCTGGAGACACGGTAAGAGTGGTGAGTGACACCTGGAGACACGGTAAAAGTGGTGAATGACACCTGGAGACACGGTAAGAGTGGTGAGTGACACCTGGAGACACGTCTTCAGCATTCCCTTACGAAGGTCAGCATTCCACAGGCACCAGAGGTCACAACACCACACACACACAAACTCTTCACACAACAAATGATGACCAAATTCACTGGGTTTGACCTTTGTACCGGCTTTCAGTTGTTGTTTTTTAATCTATGGAGCAAATTACCAGGTAACAAAAGACGTGAGATGGATGGAGTGTTTCAAGCGTAGGTTAAACATACAGGAATGAGTGTAAGTGGATATAAACAGAAGCTGTCTCTTGTGGGATAACAGGTCTTCAAGCTTTGAGATTAGAACTTGACCCAGTTGAGTTTCGCAATATTTTACAGGAGGATAATATTTTTAGTTCAGACTCTGGTTAATACTGAGTTTATAACATAAAAACACGCCACTTTGGTATTGTTGATCGTAAGCAGCGGCCTCGTATGGGCCAATAGACCTACAGCAGATGTCTTTATTCATTCTCTCATTTCTATTTTTTTAGGCCCTCTTTGGCCCTAGAAATAAGTTCACACTGCCAATGGTTCACAGCAATTTACAGGACAATAGTCATATATTATCACGTAAGACGTACAACAACCCAGCATGAGGGGGAACATGGAGCTAAACCTCACTTCGTCGTAGTCACTCATAGGTAAATACTACTACCTGCCATCATGGCAGAGACTAGGTGAGTGGGGCGGGGGGGGGCGGGGGGGGATGCTGTACTTATCTCAATGGGATCACGATCACACACACACACACACACACACACACACACACACACACACACACACACACACACACACACACACACACACACACACACACACACACACACACACACACCTGGTGATCTTCCCTCATCAGTAATCAGGTTTGACGTGGTCAACCTGTCAAGTTTCTACTTTACATTCTCATCGTAACCGGTTTGATTATTATTATTATTAGTTTTTTTTTTTAATTGCGAATAAAAGTCAAGTGAATAACTTAAAATATGCGCAAACTTACTGGATATTATCTTTATTTTATTATTATTATTATTATTATTATTATTATTATTATCGAGTTAAAAATCATTTGAAGCAATACAGAAGATTCGAACCCTGAACCTGGGTACCATCCAGCACCTTACCTTACCTTTGGTGCGTGGAGTGCGAGTATCCAGGTCGAGCGTTCGAATCCTTCGCAATTACTGCAATTGATTTTCTCCTCGACATGAGTTTAATTTCCTTACTATAATTTTTATTAGTGTTTGTATCAAAAGAACTCTAGGGACAATGCCACAGAATTAACAACAACAAGAAAAACAATAACAACAGCAGTAAGGAATGTGAGAGAGAGAGAGAATTATGAAGGGAAAGCGCCAAGCCATTACGACTATATAGCACTTGGAATGTTGTATATACTGGTATATACTTTTTATGCTGTATATCTTGTATATATGTACTTTAACCTGAATAAACATTTGATTTGACAGATTGTCGCTCCTCTGATGTCTCTATAGAGTTCTAACTGATGCACAGTACCTAGTAGAAAGGCGACAGGTCACGTCCAGGGCTGCAGGTCACGTCCAGGGCTGCAGGTCAAGTCCAGGGCTGCAGGTCACGTCCAGGGCTGCAGGTCAAGTCCAGGGCTGCAAGTCAAGTCCAGGGCTGGAGGTCACGTCCAGGGCTACAGGTCAAGTCCAGGGCTGCAGATCACGTTCAGGGCTGCAGGTCACGTCCAGGGCTGCAGGTCACGTCCAGGGCTACAGGTAACGCTAGACGACACCCACTACCTTAATTAAGAAACTTCTAGCTCGGGCTGCCCGAAACGCTGCGCGTACTAGTGGCTTTACAAGACTGTAATTACCATATTATGTATCCTCACATTCCCAAGGTGCCTTCTTGTATATGCATAAATAAATAAATAAATAAATAAATAAATAAATAAATAAATAAATAAATAAATAAATAAATAATAAAAATAAATATGTACTCCATGTTGTCCAAACATGAGGCAGGCTACATAAAAAAAAAAAAAAATCTACAGTATACAGTATACAGTCTACAGTATACAGTATACAGTATACAGTATACAGTATACAGTATAGCATCTACAGTATATTGTACTTTTCACATTGTTCATAGTCAGGATGGCCGAGCGGTCCAAGGCGCTGCGTTCAGGTCGCAGTCCGGTCTTCCGGGCGTGGGTTCGAATCCCACTTCTGACATGAGTGCTTTTATTTTTTTTTTCTCTCGTCCGGACTTTTGATCATGGGTTCGAGTCCCACTTTCGACTTTCTTTTTTTTTTAAAGGCCTGTAGTTGTGTTTAATACATATATATATACGTTAATGTAGGGTTTGTGCGATGTGTGTGTATGTATGTGCTTGAATGTTTGTGCATTCAAGTACAATCACAATGAAGGATCACACTTCAACTTATGCGTCTAATCGACGCATCGACGTCACGCATGTGCGTCGACGTCAATGGCGTCTAATATAATAACACCTGCAGAACGAACACTAAATTTTGTTTTAAGGTGGTTGAATTTCGTCACACGCATAATAGCACGCTGGATACGTGTTATGTGGTCCAAGGTTCGATTCCCGGCGCAGGCGGAAACAGATGGACAGAGTTTCTTTCATCCTAATGCCCCCTGTCAGCTAGCAGTGAATAAGTACCTGGGAGTTAGACAGCTGTTACGGGCTGCTTCCTGGTGTGTGTGTGTGTGTGTGTGTGTGTGTGTGTGTGTGTGTGTGTGTGTGTGTGTGTGAAAAGAAATTAGTAGTTAGTAACAGTTGATTGATTGAAAGTTGAGAGGCGGGACGAAAGAGCAGAGCTCAATCCCGCAAGGACAACTAGGTGAGTACACACACACACACACACATACACACACACACACACACACACACACACACACACACAAACACACACACACACACACACACACACACACACACACACACACACACACACACACACACACACACACACACACACACACACACACACACACACACAAACACACACACACACACACACACACACACACACACACACACACACACACACACACAGAATCAGAGTAAGGAAATCGTTCTACATTACATTTACAGTGACCCTATATTACAGCTAAGATACCTTACCTTACATATACAAACAAATAAATGTTTGTAAAGGCTAAAGTAAAGTAAATTACAAGGCTGGGAGGTAGGTCAAGCGAGAGGGTAAAACTGTACACATAATAAAGATTACACAGACGACGCCAAAATTAACGAGGGACTTAAAACCTGAGGAAAGTCACGAGGGACTTGTGATCCTGTGGTCCCGGGTTCGATCCCAGGCGCCGGCGAGAAACAATGGGGCAGAGTTTCTTTGACCCTATGCCCTTGTTACCTAGCAGTAAAATAGGTACCTGGTGTTAGTCAGCTGTCACGGGCTGCTTCCTGGGGGTGGAGGGCTGGTCGAGGACCGGGCCGCGGGGACACTAAAAAGCCCCGAAATCATCTCAAGATAACAAGAGCTGTATGGAGTACTGCATGAACCCCCACAACACCACCAACCTTCAGGAGCGACCCACACATAAATATGTACTCGTATGTGTGACCTCAAGGAGCGTCTGGTAAGCAGGATGGGAGAGGGAGCTGGGAAAGCAGAAGAGAGGTACATAATCAATGTAAGACGCTTATAAAATCTTAAAATCTTATAAATCTTAAAATCTTATAAATCTTAAAATCTTATAAAATCTTAAACAACACCTTACGATGATTTCGTGACTCCACATCGTCACCGCAGGCTCGACTAGGCCTGTTAAAATTTCCACAGTAACCCCTGGTGGGACTCGAACCCACAATCCTTGGCTTAGGAGGCCAATGCCTTATCCATTGGGCCACAGGGGCGGACAACAAAGTTTGGGAAGAGAAAATTGTTTCGTGAAGGGAATATATTATTCCAGTACTATCAGTACTATCTACAGAGATCATAACTAAACACAATAATATCGGCGGTATATGGGAAGTTTGTAGACGTAAACGACGGCACTTAGAAAGTTCTAAAACAGTTATATGTTTCAAGACAACGCACCCGTCACTACGAATTAGGAAAACACTATTTGTCAAATATTGATACTGTTCTTAAAAGATTTCCCCATTTTGCACCCGTTAGATAACGTAAGCTTTTAAGGGTTGACAGATGTTAATCTTCTTGTTTGAGGAGCTGTTCACTTGAGACAGTTAAACAAGTCCCAGCTGTGTCTGGGTACAAGTGACAGGATGAACAACCCAGCGGGTTTTCTTCCTTTTGGGGAGTGTTGTACATGCTGCTATGGCGGTGTGTCCACTCACAAGATGAGTGGCGCTGCCCAATAAACTCGCCCCTCGGGGCAAAATTTAAAATTTAAATTTAAATCCACACCTTGTGAAGCATACAAAAAATAACTTATAATCATAGATATTTACAACAACATTGAGCTAATGGAACAAAATCAAACACTGCTAGAGGAGCCAAGGAGCAGATATTGGGATCATCAGCAATATGTACACAACGGATTTATAGAAAACACCGACCTTACCTAACCTTGTTAGTACCTTAAGATAAGCATCTTATTGCTTCGTAATTACAATTATTACCTAACCTATAATAGGTATAGGTTAAGTAATAATTGTAATTACGAAGCAATAAGATGCTTATCTTAAGATACTAACAAGGTTAGGTAAGGTCGGTGTTTTCTATGAATCTTTTAATGGGTATCTATTATGTTTAGTATATCACCTATGCACGTAGTTAATAAGTCAATATTGACTTTACGAATTTGCGAGAACGGGTTGCACAACGGTAAAGGAAATAACAAATAAAGTTGTTGAAACTACTGCTTTAACACTGGGAGAGAATGGAACATGACAAGTGCAGATGCAAGTGAGTCGAAGGTGCCTAAATAATTACACACATGCTCTACGGGAGGTCAACATGTGCAATATACGGAAAGAACAAGTCCCGGAAGCCACCTCCTTATGCAATTTCAAGAGCAAATATGCAGCTACATATTTATAAAAAAAAATGCACCATGGATAAAAAAAAGCAAGGAATAAAAGTCACAGAGAGTAATACTTCACCAACCTTCACGTATCACTAAGTGGTAATCAGGCGAGAGCTGTCAGTTCTGTCTCATGCTACTAGCATGGAACCCCACAATCTGATACACCACAACTAAAAAATGTAGACTATCCAAAGACAGTGGAAGTATACCAGATAATAGTGCAAAGTTACGAGATTGATTGATTGATTGATGAAGATTAAGCCACCCAAAAGGTGGCACGGGCATGAATAGCCCGTAAGTGGTGGCCCTTTTAAGCCATTACCAGTATCAAAAGCTGATACTGGAGATCTGTGGAGGTGCGAATGCACCCTGCATGACGGGAGATGTCTCCCTTGTGAATGTGTTAAGATGAAGATGAAGCCACCCAAAAGGTGGCACGGGCAAAAGTTACGAGGAATAGACAAAGTGGATAGAGACAGTCTTTATCCAGGTGAGGAGGAATAGAGCGAGAGTCGACAGGTTGAAGTAGAGAACACAGACGCCTGGGAAATCCTCGTATGCAATGAGACAGGTCAACAAGAGGAATGACCTGGAACCAGAGGTGCGTGTGTGTGTGATAGCAACAACGGCAGTTACACAAGAGGCGAGCCCTAGAGCCGAATCTCGCCCCCCCCCCACACCACACCACCACACACCCAACAAGGCTCTGGCACCGTTCACCCGTAGTTCCGGAGGCTGCCACTAGGACCCATCACCACTCTACCTCTATACAATAGCTTAAAGCGAGACACTTATAAAATCTTGGTCCACATCTGATTCACAGCATCGAGTCTGTCTGTAAAACCCGCCAGCAGTCAGCCATATATAACTACACTACTAAAAACCACCCTCATCTCAGGAGTAGTTTAGGCAATACTTCGAATAGCATCACATGCCCAAACAAAAACAGTCTACCAACAACGCCTGGCATTTCCTGGAAGCTGCTCTCAATTATGTGAGAGAAAACGAGCAGCGAGATGAAGGGAGAGCTCCTCCATTTAGTACCCACGCTCTGATAGGTATTTATATTTTTTTACCTGAATTTGCCTGAAGTTTCTCATATCTCTAGTGAGTGACCTCGATAGGGACAGGAAGGCGGCGGCTTATCAAAGCTCCTCCCTTTGTTCCAGATCATTTTTTTAAACTGGATTTTGAATTAAAGTGTCTGGGCATTTACGGCTCTCGGAGGGCAGGCAGCTTCACAAAGGGTTCATAGTCCTATAGATGGAAAAAAATAATACATTTTTAGTCGTACATTGTAACCTGAAGATGTTGCTCATTATATTGTTACGTTTAACCTTTTAATAATACCAGGATTTACTTGTTAAAATCTAATCTTTAACTAAAAATTTAGTTAAAATCTAAAATCTCTGCCCGAAACGCTTTGCGTAATAGTGGCTTTAGGCATTGTATGTACTAGCTCTTATCTATAAAGCCAACAAACTTTGTAAAATCTCTTTATGTATGTACCTTTGCCTAAATAAAAATTATTATTATTATTATTATTATTATTATTATTATTATAATCGTATCTGCAATGTCACTCATCCAGTTACTGGTAGTTAGTTGGCCAGAAATGTCTGAGACGGTGGTTACACGAGCCTACAGCATCTTAGCAATGACTTGCCAGATCAAATTCCTCGTGTGAATTAAGCAGCACCAGTACAGTATCCTGATATAGCATAGTTTTATATAGAGATATATATTATTATATATTATATAGAGTATACTGTAGTATAGAAGAAATATCTTTTCTTCTATATTGTCATCTGACGAGAATTACCTTCATTATCGAAGTTACAAGAATAACAAAATACGCGGCACACTTAAATAACATTAAAGTGTTAACAAATCATGGGCATAAATTGGATAAGATTAGATTTAGGAAAGACCTGGGTAAATATTGGTTCGGTAACAGGGTTGTTAATTTGTGGAACCAATTACCGCGTAGCGTGGTGGAGGTGGAGGTCCCTTGATTGTTTCAAACGTGGGTTGGACAAGTATATGAGTGGGATTGGGTGGTTATAAATAGGAGCTGCCTCGTATGGGCCAATAGGCCCTCTGCAGTTACCTTTATTCTTATGTTCTTAAATTAATAATTAGATTACAGTTAATACAAAAATATAATCAAACGTCTTGGGGTGTAAAACATGGGGTCAATCCATGCGAGGTTGACCCCCTGACCCCAACACTTCAGGGAGGAGGGGGAGAAGAATTATGGAAAGTTATGGGAAGAGAGAGAGAGAGAGAGAGAGAGAGAGAGAGAGAGAGAGAGAGAGAGAGAGAGAGAGAGAGAGAGAGAGAGAGAGAGAGAGAGAGATTTTTCTCATTGTTACAGTTATAACTTAAATACAATTTAACATTTACCTGTATTTACCTGAAGACCGTCATCTCTTGTGGTCTCGACGAGAGATACGAACCCTGACAGGTCGTTCACAACTATTGAAGCGACTGTAAGATAAAGGTTGACTACTTGAGTGACTGATCAAGCCCAACTGATAATAAGAGACATTCCTTAAAGACAATTCTTTACAATAATAATAATAATAATAATAACAGCAGAGTGACAGTAACGTGGCTGAGAGCAGGTAACCACACTCTCACATATGATAAGGGTTCGAAACCCTCATTAAGTCGAGACTACGAAATAAAGGCGAGGGAAACCATCATTATTTTATTTATACAAAATATTACAAAGAAACTATATAAATTAAAAAACAGTATGGCTCTTATATAAAGCCACTAATCATAGGAACACAAAACATATCTGAGATAAAAACACGCAACAGATCTATATAATTTTTACGTAAGAATTAATAATATATTGATTTGGAAGCAGTAAATTAACCCTTATGAATGCGACCGCTAACAATACATAAAATCAATATATATTAAAGTTCATGGGCAGTGTCAAAATTACCTTAACGGGTAAAAACCCATTATACAGGAATTAGTATCTTATCAAGTTTGTATATAACTTGCTTAACTTGATGAATGACCGGGTTCAATCCCCGAGGCCATTATGCGCCTCTGTAACTCTTTTCACTACCGCCCACAAGATGGCTATCGGGTGCATATTAAAGGATATGAAAAAAAAAATAGAAGCTGCCTTTAATCTCGGATCTGGAGTTGCTTATTTACTCAAGCGTTCGCGAACGCCTCAGGTCGTAGGTGGAGAATGTAAACATTGTATGTGTGAACGTGTTCATCTCTCCTGACCATCACGATTGCTCTTAAAAGGCAAGACCTGAGTCTTCCCATCTAATGCGTCGCAAATTGTGTTTTTTTTTTATGAAATTGATCATTCCGTTAAAATGCAACAAATTGGTAAAAATCAAAGCAAAGTTAATGTTCACGTTTTTAATGCATTAACCTCGCTAGGTTAGGTGGATTGCTTGGGTTCGTACGTTTTTTTTGTTAAGAAAAACAGATGCAGTTTTTACTGACTAGCAAATCTAGAGAACAGCTTGCACAGTGACACTGAAGTTGTTCAACACATCACACTCTCAATAACTCCAACTTACAGCAGCGCTTTGACGTTTCTCTCAGAATATCAAAACACGTCCTTTTAAAGTGTCAGTAGACGAGAACCATTAGACGAATTTCAAGAAAGCAGAACAGTGCAAACTGGAACTAGCAGGCCCATTGATCATCACAATGAAATGTGTCAAGTAAAACATGTGTATTGGACAAGTAACTAAAGCACCAGACAAAGAGACGTTGTCACAGCTCGAATAAGACCTGGCCACAGGTATATCTCTGGCAGTTTGGCTTGTATAGATGAAGTAAAGTGTGAAATGTGTGGACAAACACTTGCTCAATATTATTTGTTTGGTTATATCAGAACAAAACCACACACACACACACACAAACACCACACACACACACACACACACACACACACACACACACACACACACACACACACACACACACACACACACACACACACACACACACACACCATATTTAGCTCCACCAAAGGATCTGTTTTTACTGCCAACGTCACCAGAGCCAAGCGCGGCCCAGCTGATGCCTTGACAGGCGCGTAATCCACGATGACGTCATGGCCGACACACTTGTAAACAAAGCAGGCTTCACGTGGGCGTTTAAATGCCAGATCTCGGCTATAAGGAAGGGGCCAAGTAGACTGATTCGGGTGGTGGAGAGACGGATGGTATTTGCCCGGGAGGGGATGATGGTAGCAGGGATATATGGTGTCTGGATGGTGGTGATGGATAGAAGATGGTGGTGGCTAGGTGGCGGTAATGGTAGTACATATTTTTAGCGTGGAGTTGATTGCCTTGGGAAGCCGAGTTTTTTTTTTTTTTTAATTCAGGTGTATTGCTTTTGCCGGCCCTGTTCTTCTAGCTGGCCTAAAACAGAGGTGGTAGCGCTTGTTATCATGCCATTCCCTGCAATCATTGCATCTTTGTCATCATTCCATTATCGTCACTATGTCAACATTTCATCATAGGCATCATTCCACCATTCCATCACTGTTTTCATTCCTTCCATGCCAATCCAACCGTGTCATCAAGCTCGCTTTGTTTTTATTATATATGAGCTTATTATCAGTTATGTTTGTTGTTAACGTGATACTTAAATACACACACACACACACACACACACACACACACACACACACACACACCACAGTGTCCAGGGACTACTATGTGAGCCTCTGTACCCACACCCCCCACATCCACCCACACCCCCACATCCACCCACACCCCCCACATCCACCCACACCCCCCACATCCACGTCACGTGCCCGTTATGACACCCACCCACACCTCTCTTCACATGTGCAATCTACAATCTACCTCCCCTCTTGTTGCACCTAATGTGTACACTCTCATGTCAGTCGTCTCTCAACACACACACACACACACACAAAAATATATGTGTATATAGGCAGGGGGCCTCGTAGCCTGGTGGATAGCGCGCAGGACTCGTAATTCTGTGGCGCGGGTTCGATTCTCGCACGAGGCAGAAACAAATGGGCAAAGTTTCTTTCACCCTAAGTGCCCCTGTTACCTAGCAGTAAATAGGTACCTGGGAGTTAGTCAGCTGTCACGGGCTGCTTCCTGGGGTGTGTGTGTGTGTGTGTGGTGTGGAAAAAAAAAAAAAAAAAAGTAGTTAGTAAACAGTTGATTGACAGTTGAGAGGCGGGCCGAAAGAGCAAAGCTCAACCCCCGCAAAAACACAATTAGTAAACACACACACACACACACCCACCCCAATGATAACACAGTTGCAACAGTATTGTTTACAAAGGCAATTTTCCTACATGCTACACTCCTTCATGACATCAGCTGGTCATACAGGAGACGTGAGTCACAGGGGTAGGCTAGGAGAGGTGAGTCACAGGGGTAGGCTAGGAGAGGTGAGTCACAGGGGTAGGCTGGGAGAGGTGAGTCACAGGGGTAGGCTAGGAGAGGTGAGTCACAGGGGTAGGCTGGGAGAGGTGAGTCACAGGGGTAGGCTAGGAGAGGTGAGTCACAGGGTAGGCTGGGAGAGGTGAGTCACAGGGGTAGGCTAGGAGAGGTGAGTTACAGGGGTAGGCTGGGAGAGGTGAGTGACAGGGGTAGGCTGGGAGAGGTGAGTCACAGGGGTAGGCTGGGAGAGGTGAGTCACAGGGGTAGGCTGGGAGAGGTGAGTCACAGGGGTAGGCTGGGAGAGGTGAGTCACAGGGGTAGGCTGGGAGAGGTGAGTCACAGGGGTAGGCTGGGAGAGGTGAGTCACAGGGGTAGGCTGGGAGAGGTGAGTCACAGGGGTAGGCTAGGAGAGGTGAGTCACAGGGGTAGGCTGGGAGAGGTGAGTCACAGGGGTAGGCTAGGAGAGGTGAGTCACAGGGGTAGGCTGGGAGAGGTGAGTCACAGGGGTAGGCTGGGAGAGGTGAGTCACAGGGGTAGGCTGGGAGAGGTGAGTCACAGGGGTAGGCTGGGAGAGGTGGAGTGACAGGGGTAGGCTGGGAGAGGTGAGTCACAGGGGTAGGCTGGGAGAGGTGAGTCACAGGGGTAGGCTGGGAGAGGTGAGTCACAGGGGTAGGCTGGGAGAGGTGAGTCACAGGGGTAGGCTGGGAGAGGTGAGTCACAGGGGTAGGCTGGGAGAGGTGAGTCACAGGGGTAGGCTGGGAGAGGTGAGTCACAGGGGTAGGCTAGGAGAGGTGAGTCACAGGGGTAGGCTGGGGAGAGGTGAGTCACAGGGGTAGGTTGGGAGAGGTGAGTCACAGGGGTAGGCTGGGAGAGGTGAGTCACAGGGGTAGGCTAGAGAGGTGAGTCACAGGGGTAGGCTGGGAGAGGTGAGTCACAGGGGTAGGCTGGGAGAGGTGAGTCACAGGGGTAGGCTGGGAGAGGTGAGTGACAGGGGTAGGCTGGGAGAGGTGAGTCACAGGGGTAGGCTGGGAGAGGTGAGTCACAGGGGTAGGCTGGGAGAGGTGATTCACTGAATAGGCGAAACCGAGAGGTGAGCCAAGTCTTGCTATAAGTTTGTTTAATTATTAATTAATTAAATTAAAATAGTTTAAAACACCAGATCTACGTTATGATAAAGCTATAAAATTGAACATGATTTGATCATGTCTTTAAGGTGGATAATATGGGTCTATAATTTCTACCTATAGTCTCTTGTTATCTTTCTCTTCACCGTGAACAGTTTACCTTTGCCGTGTATTTTATCCATATCTCAGTATTTTATGCATCGTAATCATGTCTCCTCTGGCTCTTCTCCTCTCCCGTGTTTGTCGTTTCGGCTCGTTTCCCCTCTCAGAACAGATGTCGAGTCTGAATCAGTCTTTAAATCAGTCTGAATTTTGAATCAGTCTTTAAAACAAGTTGTTACATTAGAATTTACTGTACCCGTAGGTGACTGTACCTCGATTTCATATTTATATAGCACAAAAGCAACAGCAAAAATATAAAAAAAATATATGTGTATATGATTTGCCGTTTTTCTGTACATATAACACTATCCTTATGATTTTCTTTATGTTCCGTTCCTTGTTATTCCTATTCAAGTAAAAACCATTGCTAGTGACGTCTTTGGAAGTCGTAAATGACACCTAATAGGAATGGTGGTTATGACTTAAACTGTCTGGTGAAGGGGGAGGGGGGGGGTATATTGGGCACAAACTGGTTAAGAACCCCCCTGTTTAGGGTGTTGTGTTGGGGGAAGGGGGGGAGGGAGGGGGGAGGGGTAGGGGGGGGATGGGGGGGTAGGGGGGCGAGGAAGACCTTAGATTGCTTATTACCGTAAGCCACCCCCCAAAATAATGTTTTAGTGCCTGCAGCGACTGTACGAAATATGAATTGTTCCACCCTCAAATAAGTCCATTTTGAACTAACGATAATATAAGTGCTTTTCTTCACACACACAAAAC